TAGGTTGTTGGTAGGTTTTCTCTAGGTTGTCAGTAATTGTTGGTAGATTTTCAGTAGGTTGTCAGTAGATTGCTGGTAGGTTGTTGGTAGGTTTTTCTCTAGGTTGTCAGTGATTGTTGGTAGATTGTCTGTAGGTTGTCAGTGATTGTTGGTAGGTTGTCTGTAGGTTGTCAGTGGATTACTGCTAGGCTGTTGATAGGTTGTCAGTGGATTTTTGGTAGGTTGTTGGAAGGTTGTCTGTAGGTTGTCGGCTGGTTAACAGTAGGTTTTCAGTAAAATATGTAACACTGGAAGGTCGATAATTATCAGTTTGATATTGGCAGATTCATGGTAGGTGGTCAGTGGGTGGGTGGTAGACAGTAAGTATGTTGTTGGGTAGTGTTGTTCGGTTGTTGGCAGGGGGTATTATTTGGAAAGATCGTTGAAATGTTAGTATTATTTAATATTTCAGAACTAACCAACATGCCATTTATCCATCTTCTTGCTACAATTGAATCCAATCCACACACAACAATGTGAAAGGCTAGAAAATAAACAAATTGAAATATTTCCTGACTAAGCAAACAGCATAATTAAAAATAGGCAGCACTACAAGGAAATGCACAAAATAGACATCATATACTTTATTAATAAAGTTCTACAGTACTCACTTCTGTAGAAATCTGTATCATGGTCTTGGATCTTATCATAATGGCTGATACATTTGTTAAGACCAAACAATGCAGCCATTATCATTTAGTAGTTACAATATTAGTAGTACTGATAAAAAGGTAAATTATACACTGTGAAAAGATGAAAAAACTTACTGACATTTCGGACGCTAGTCCTTCGCCTTTTCAGGAATCGTATAATTTACCTTTTTATCATTACTGTTTTATCAAAAACACACGACGCAGCTCACACTAGTTTTTAGCTAGTTATCTCTTCATATTAGTAGTACTGGAAATTTTATGGGAGGGCCCAACACTCTATCCATCAAAGAACCCCAAAGAACGATTTTATGTGAGCATATCTGCGTCCTCTGATATAAACATGATAACCAACCATCACTGCATGCATTACATCTCAAATATTTTATAGTATTAATTACATACATGTAAACACAATCTAGTAGTAAGGATACGGAGTACAACAGCATCCTGCTATCCGAGAATTAACAAATTCAGATGCCACTACAGCCTTAGGTCTTCCTATATCTTTAGGCCTGTTGATTAAAAATAATTTTTTACATTTTTTAGGGATATGAGGCCCCTCTTACTCACATTGTGAGAGTAGGACTAATCAAATGAGACTTACCTAAATAAAAACTGTCTGTTTAAGTTTGAAATTTCAATGGTATCCATGTCTATAACATCTATGTTTCTAAAGCCACAAAGAGCCTGCAAACAAAAATCAATAATAATGCTGCTTCATAGATATAAATTTGAAAGCTACAGTACAGGCCAGAAGTTTTTCAGGGTCAACTGCGTGTATCGGTCATGAACCCCGCACATGGGATCCACTCTTACGCGTGGGATTCTACCATACACATGTATCCCGTCCATACAAGCGGGAAAAGTTAATGAGGTCCCACGCAGCATAAGAGCTCATTAACTTTAACTTGGCTCTCTGGGGATCTCTTTGACGCAGAAAATTATCTTCTCATACTGGAGCCTGTGAAAAATTCAATCATGTTTTGAAATTGACTTCACAGACATTTCCTTCAATGATTTTGATAAAAGTTCATCATTCACATACAAACTATTTTAATCCTTCTTCAGCCCATAACTCATCAAAAGTTCCATTTGATCAAACATGTTTTGAAAATCCACTTCACAAACACAGTATTTGACTTCTGAAATAAAGTTATTCTATTTGAATTCTTCATCTTCTTGCCTTGCTGGTCATAATTCTGGCCAGTAAGGTTGAGCCAGAAATGACCAAACTAAAACYWATTTGGCCTGATCTCATGACTGATACAGCCATTATTTTAAGCTTTCATCTCCTTGCAATTGACATGAAGTATAATTTATATTAAGATATATTTTTAATTAAATTACGTTTAGTATATTGATTTCCTATATTAAAAAAATCAACTGCCACATGCAACATTGCTGAACAAGAAAAGGTTGATTTCTGCAAAAGGGAATGTGCATGAGCATGAATCTCTAGCACAAAACATGATGGGAAACAGAGTACTACACAAAGTACAACAAAGAAATTAATAGAATTATCAGAAAAATTACTCTTTTATTTTCATCTGTTGAAATACTTGCAGTTTCATAGGAAATGTCGAAGGAAAAATTGTCAGATGAATTCCTAGAGGAGCTAAAAAACCATAAACACTCGGTTTCCCATCATGCTTTGTGCTAGAGATTTGTGCTTTGCACATTGGCTATTGGAAAATAGTAAGATTTGAACTTACCAAATCTTTTAATAGTTCACAACCTAGTCCCCCTGCACCAATAACCAATACCTTTGCATTTTCTAGTATAAAATCTAGAACCTGATAAATGAAAAATGGAATACAATAGAGTAAATAGATGATAATATTGTTTGACTATGATTTACATCCCACTTCAAGTTACCACCTTAAAACCAGCTTATGTACATATTATTTGTTACTGATTTTTTTTGTGAACTCAGACATTTCAACAGCTTGTTTGAAATTGGTTTTCTCCACCTTCAATCAAATACCTTTTACATTTTTGACTGGTGGCAGCGAAAAACCAAATTCAGCAATGGGTAACTAATGAGTTTGCAAAATATTGAGAAATATCAAAGTTTTGTATGCCAAGAAATAGCATTTATACACTGTATTTAAACTCTTTTATTCCATTACATGGAAAATACATTTAGGCTGCGATGCCCGATGAGACAGGCGAACAGTGGAAAACCACCAATTAGCATATACCAACTTGTGTACTTCCTAAGGACACGCACGCTCATTGGTTACTGCTATTTTCAGTTGAGCTGGCCGCTGGCCGAATTTTACTTGATCAAGACAAGTTAGAAGTCATTAAATCAGACGCCCCTAAACAGTGTTTTGATAGGTGACAAGTTTGTTCTTTCGGCATGTGAACTTGTTAGACTTGGCGTGTGAACTTATTTTTCTAGACATGCGAACTTGCCTTGTTATCATGCTATTAAGCAAGAGTGGGAGAACTTACGAGTGTGGAAAAGCTCTAAGCAATGATTTGAGAAGGACAATCATCGATGAAATTGTTAAATGTGGAGGAAATATCACAACTGGATATTTTCCAGGTTCCATAACAAAGATAATGGATAAATTTCGCATTTCATGAATTAGTTGCACAAACTTTCCACCTTAATTTGATACTTCATATTCAGAAGTTCGTGTACGAAATGGAATGCTTTTAGGTGGTAAAACATGCTTTTGAAGCGTGACAAGTCATAACTTCATGCGTCTCAAAACAATGGGGGCATGTAACAGTCAACTTTACAAACTTTACTTGATCCAATCAACAACAGCCAGCGGCCTGCTCAACTGAAAATAGCAGTAATTGGAGGTGAATATTATATGATATTTACCTCTGAATCTCGGAATATTGAGTCGGCAACAAAATGGCATCTGCCGGCAATCGTTTTGCTACAATTTCCAATGAGGAAATTGAAAAAATGAAAGTAAATGCCATTCCTATCAATACTAAAAAGGCAACGGAAAATGGCATAAAAGTTTTGCTAAAAGTTTTGCGTGAATTTGTCACGTAAACTAAAAGTTTCTGTTTGTTTGTTTTTATTGAATTATTGTATATAAAAATAAGTTACTCTGTACACAAGTTGGAATATGCTAAAACAATATTATTCGCCTCAGGCTCAGTGAATATGGAGAATATCTACCTCGCCGCTCGAAGACTCCCRTCTCAGTAAATATTCCCTGATATTCACTTTGCCTTCGGGGAATAATTGCTAAATATTCAATAGCTTTCGTGCATTCTGATTGGCTGTATTTTCAATGGTGTAGGATATATTTGAGTACATCTCTACCTGTGGGCCTGGTTCAAAGTCTTGATGCGCAAGTGGTCCACTACGAACAAGAAGCTTTTGCAAATGGCCCCATCTTCCAGGCCAGTTATTACCATCTGCTCTGTATATCAATAATTCCATCAAATTAATGAACAATACAGTTTACATATGCACTAGACATGCTACCCGTATTATGGAGCTTAATTTTTATCAACAACAAAAATTAAGCACTTTTAAAAGATTTTGTTTAAATCTGTGATTACAGTTGTTAACAAAAGTGTACAATATAAAATGTACAATATATATGAATGAAAACGAGCAGAAAACCAGCTAAAAATCCAAGATGAACAAATTAACGTGAAGATATTTTTGCTTGAAGCAAAATAAGCTCACATTCTGACACTATAGGCAATATAAATAACATCTATCGAAATATTTCGGGCAAATTCAACATGTTTATGCCACTTACGACACATCAGATGAACTCTCTTCAACTTCCATTCCAAGATTCTTCAAATCAAGACTACTAGATAGCGTAAAATCCTTGTTTTTCTAGCTCGTTACTGCTCCATATCACCTTTTTCATTCAATGGAAATGTCATTATGAGGCAAGCCGACGATTTCACGGAATGAGGTCGACTATGAGTCGACAACATATCGATTAAATTTTCTCCGTCGGAAATATTTCGGATGTCTTCCTTCCGGTTCGGTATTGGGATCGAATTTATTGCTGACATTTTGTTTTTATTCTGTCACGTTGTCTTCTTATTTCTCGTTTTCTTTGTTGAGCACAATAGCTACAAACGTAACGAGGCCATAAAAGGGTCATGACATCAGAATTCTGAATTAGAATTTAACATCAGAATTTTACTGCTTTACTAAAAGATTTATCATCATTTGTTGTTAGATACAACCAGTATTAGGTTGTGCTGTACACCGTTCATCATGACGACCCAAGGAATTCAACTCCCATCCTTTCTACGTGTTGCTGCTGAAAGACAAAAGCATAGTATAACCAACCGTAATGGCGAGAAATTCAAGCTTGAAGCTCCATCTCCTTCCTCTCTCGTCTATGTACAAGATTGTAAAGACTGTGAATGTGAGCTGCAAAGGAAGGCAATGAAAGTGATCGTGGAAGGATGTAAAGATTGTGTTTTCAACATTGACAGTACTTTAATAACTGGAATGATTGAGGTTCTGAACTGTGAGAATTTTACCATTAATGTGAATGAGAACGGAGCGGTAAGCATTGCAGAGATGCATGTTAAGCTCATTATATTAGTACTCTTATATATTATATAATATATGAACTTCTGAGCTCTTTTTTATGTCCTTTTATGATCCATGGATTAATCAACACTTAGAGGCCAATGAATCATATTGAATTGATCCTTGAAAGGAGAAAGACTTTATTATTTTTCATGTTTCCACTCAACAAAGTATGGAGGGGGAGGGGCTTTGCTCAAGCTGCCTTCGTTAGTGTTGTTTTCACATAATTTAAGTTATATTAGACTGTGATTATTTGTTCAATCTATCATCATGCACAGTACATCAATCAAGCTATATTATATTTTCCAATGTGCAATTTGAAAGGGGGAGTGGGAGGGGGGTTAGTCCAAAGAAATCCAACCTGTGACCAGACCTATAGGACTCAGGCTATCAGTAGATGTTTTACAGCTATGGTGCACCCATACCACCTATGTGAAAATAGCATAGGCATATGCATATCTGATGTATACACCTAATTGAAAAACATAGACGGGTTCAAGAAGGTCATATCATCAAAGCTAAGACCGAAAAGGATTTTGGGTACTCTGAAATGTTTTTTTATATTTGCATATAGACATGTAAAAATGCACAGTAGAGCAAAGTCGGTCGACCTAGATTAACAGCATGCCAAAGCTATGATGCATAAAATGTGCACAGGAAAGGAAAACTGCAATACGCATGAAATTAGCATAATTGTTTGTCTTCCCATGCTCCCCTTCAGTCTTAGCTTTGATGATATAACCTTTTTTTGAACCCGACAACGTTTTTTCAATTAGGTGTATACATGTGTCATGTAGGGCATGTTTTTGATGAATATAAAATACACTGTTTTTAGCTAATCAAAGGCAAGATATTGAGTAAAATATATGATAGAAAAAAATAATGTTCAGGGTATAGCATCAGATCTTGTCTAGGTGTTCATCATCATCATCACTTCTCACAGTGCCACGAGTCGCATAACCACTAGGTGTTGCCTAACTTTAACTCTAATTTTGATGATCTGTCAATCTGTACAAAATTCTATGTGTGAAGCTACACAAAGGTTAATTGCTGCAATTATTAACCTTTCATGGAAGTTTGTCTAGATCAGCACATACTAATAAAAACAGTGATGAACTCAACAAAATATATTTTTTGCTTACATTTTTGCAGATCATGACACTTACAGTTGATGGCTCTAAAAATGTGAAGGTAAATGCCCTGAGAAGTGATCAGTTTGATTCTATTTACTCACACCGCTCTAGTGGCATGGAGGTGGTGGTTGGAAAAGAAAACCCAACCAAGCTGGCCGTAGTTGTCGATGAAGACCCTGACAGACAGTACATAGTCCACTGGGAAAAGGAAGGTGACAGTGTTAAGCTCATCTGTGATAAGGTCATCAGGGATGGAATCTATCCTACAACTGAAAAGCAACTGGCAGAAACCATTGCAAAAGAGAGAGAAATGAGTGAAAGGATGGCAGCCATGATGGTCGATGGGATGAAGGTTACCCAGAAACCCAAGAAATCAAAGGCAAGTGGTATGTAAAGATTTAAAAAATATTGTGTGATACAGGAACTATTTTTAATGAATATAAAATGCGCACACATTTCCCTGTACTTTGATTTACGCAAACATGCTGGAAGCTCTAGAGCACTATTGAGAAGCAAACTTAGGAACATGAGGTGTAGCTGAGTGTTTCACTTGCTTTTTGAGTGCTCTACAGCTCCCAAAATTTTTACATCACAGTAAAGAGACAAAATCAGCCATTTTATATTGCTTTTATGAAATATTTCTGAACAATTTTCCTCTCATATAAACATGATAGCCAGCCAATCAGCTTGAGCATTATACCTGAATCTCAAATATTTTATAAAAGCTATTATGGCACTGTCTATCATTACTGTACATAGTTCAAGCCTGGGATTTTGGGATTGTAAACAGTGAATGTTGTGGTAGTGTTTGTGAAGTGAATCTGACAGAAGAGCTTCTTACATAGTGTAACTTAAGTTTTAAATTTAGGTTTTCTTTTATGAATTTATCTTATACTCTTACTGTACCTTGGAAATTTATTGAAAGTACATCATACAATTGCTCCTTAGTTATCCATTCCATAAAAGGGAATCTTGATTCTGAACACAATCTTTTTTACGATTGCCTACCTAAATTCCAATCAGCATGGGAAAGTGAGGAAGGGGTAATAACTAAATATTTGAAGTAAATGGTATTTTAAATCGCTTTTCAGTGAAGCAAGCAGAAGCTCAGTCCCAATTACCCAAAAATAAACCTCAACCCAAGCCTACCAAACCTCAAGCAACAAACCCACCAAACAAAATAAAGCCACCTTCTAAACCTAAACCACAAAAGCCTTCCAAACATAAACCAAAACCAAAACCCCAAGCAAAGCCATCAAAACACAGACCTGCACCTAACATTGAAGAAGATGATGACAAGAAAGAGTTTTTTGAAAGTGAGGAAGACTTAACTGCTAAACTAGATACCCTATGCCAGTGGATAAAAGACAGCAAACACTGCATCGTGTTTACTGGTGCTGGAATAAGTACTAGTACTGGTATTCGTGATTTTAGAAGCGGAATGAATACCGTGCTGAAAACTGGTCCTGGAAAATGTGAGCTGCAAGCTAAGGGAGCCACAAAGTCTTCATTAACCAAAGTGAATGTCTTGAAGGCAGTACCATCAGTAGCCCATATGGTACTTGTGAAACTCCATCAAGAAGGCCTTGTTAAGTTTACTGTCAATCAAAATACCGATGGCTTGCACCTAAGAAGTGGAATCCCAGCGGATCAGCTAGCGGAGCTCCATGGCAACACCAACCTTGAAAAATGCACTAAATGTGGGGCAAAGTATTTGAGAGATTTTAGAACGCGCAACGCTCAAGGCGTTCATAAACACCGAACAGGCCGCTTCTGCGACAACTTTATGTGCCGTGGACATCTTGTTGACTCTATAATCAACTTTGGAGAAGACCTTCCAGAAGATGATCTGGATCGTGCTTTTGACGAAGCGGGAAAATCCGACCTGTGCATTGTATTAGGATCAAGTCTTCGCGTGACACCTGCGGCGGATGTTCCTGAAAGTGTAATGGAAAAAGGCGGCAAATTAGTCATATGCAATTTACAGAAGACCCCTTTGAATGATGGCTGCGCTTTGGAAATCCATAAACAAATTGATGATGTGATGGTTGGACTGGCCACTAGACTTGGCCTGGAAATACCACAGTTTACCGTGAAGCGCCGCCTTGCTGTCATGGTAACAGAGAAAGATATCACAATACAGGGTCTTGATGTTGCCTTGGATACGCCCTACTCTTTTATGCGTCAGGTTGAGGTCAAGTTGATGCAGAAACATGATGGAAAATATAAGGAAATCGTCAAGGAAGTCTTAACTAAAGAGCCATATTCCATAGCCATACCGAAGATGACCAGACTTTCGCCTCAAAATCCTGTTAAAGGGGAGATTTGTCTCGGATTGCAAGGTCACTATGGGGAGCCTGATTTCACGCTACCCGCAACAATAGACAAACCTGGAAGGACTGTGTATCTGCTATCATACAACCTCTGTGACGGAACATGGAATGTGGAGGATTTGCAATAATTTATCGTTCAAAGAAAGCAACTTAGTCACACTTGGTTCACGAGCAACAAGGTTCGCAATTGCAACACAAGCACACGCTTGAAGACATAATCGGACTCTCCTTGACAGTTGTGGGAAAATACCATTGCAGTCAGTCGATGAGCGTTTTCGGTCAGTTTACCAGCGTGGGTTTATGAAAAACAGATGGAAATTATTGCACATGCACATGCACGATGATATGCAAGATAATTCTTGTATTTTGTCAAGGGTGTTAAGTAATTATCAATACACCTAAGTTTGTAATCAAGGTTTCACAATATTCTAAATATAATATTGATTTGCATTCCGAGTGCCACTCAGTTTGCGAATTGTGTGAAGCCAATGGGTGTGGTTTCTTATTAGCGCACATGAAATCAATTCAGTCCATCCCAATTTTTTTTTAATTTTGTGTAGTGTTAGCTGAATTCACTTTCAAGAAACTTGTCCTCGTTATTTATACAATGAATATGTACCTATGCTTACGTTTATTTATGGGTAGTTGGATGGAAATTATAACATTCAAATTAAAATATTCTGATTTTGCAAATATTTTTTCGTGCGTACTTGATTTAACTTTAGCGATACAAGCCAAGTGATTAAGTCATTGCGATAGCATTTAGACTATTTTGCTTCCTTTAAATGTAAAGGCTGTTTGAAACTTAAATATCTGACATTCTTTTTGGCGCGATTACACGCAGCAATTTTTACTGCAACATGTTGCAAGGGTGTCTACACGGTGGAACGGAGACGCAATCGTTACCAAAAGCATAAACGAATTCTACTTTTGGGATTACACGGAGCAATTTTCTCTGCAACTTGTCTTGCGACGGCGTTGCGACACAAGCTGCATGGAGCATTAGCGTATATTACCTACAGCACCACCATGAAATATCGAGTACTCATCGTGAGTAATACAGGAAGGAGATGATTTCAGCTTCTAAACTTTTTATCAGGGTTTATACGTGCGCAGAGGTTGCTTTATGTTCAGCGCTGTTATTTAAGGACCGTGTATATATGTATTTTGCCGAACGTAACATTTCATGCAACAATATTTTGGAAAGATGTACCCGTATAGGAACTTTGCCTGCAATAAAAAAAAGTTTTATGGTAACGCTATACCCAATCACATGATTGCGCACGTTTCAGGACGTCTTATTCCTGTCACACTGTGTGTCATACCTTCATTTTCGCCCTTCTTCCGTATGTAATGGCGACCATCGCACAGACTGATGCAACACTGACGTTTGTCGAACAATTTACATATGCTCTCTTGCCTTGGCTTCTACATTTTGTTGTTTTTCTTTATCTTATAATAAGTATTTTAAACTAAAAATTGATTAATATGATTGCTATACCGACTTCGTTTTCAAGCATTCCAGAGTGCAGATGCCTTAAATGGTCAACAGCTGACACAAGCCCAAGGTATTTGTGACCTTTTTATTGTCGATTTTATTTTGAGTGACAATAGGTAAGTGCAAAGCGAATTCAAAACTTTTCTTCCTTATTCTGTTCTCTAGTTTGCCACAAAACAAGAAATATTCAGGCTGTATAACTTGATACATCAATCATGGACAACAGAGAAGATCTTCCACCATTTCTTCGCATTGCCTCAAGACCCAAACACGCTATCAGTGATCGTAATGGCGAGAAAATTGAGCTCCAGGCACCAGCTCCATCCACTCTCTTGTACGTCCAAGATTGCAAAAACTGCGAATTTGAGCTCGAAAAAAAGGCATTGAAAGTTATCGTTGATGGATGCAAAGATTGTCTTTTCAACGTGAATAATTCTTTACTAACTGGAATGATTGAGGTCCTGAATTGTGAGAATTTAGCCCTTAATATTTTGGAGAATGGCGTGGTATGTACTGTACACTCTAGCTGTGTTATTGTTCATGGGATTCTTGCGTTCACTTTCACTTTTAATGTTTAGCAAAAGTAGCTACTTAGGGGAGAGCATTGCGTGGCGACATTAATAGCGGCTTCGTAAGAGAGTAGAAACATGACAAAGGAGTTTTATTTTCTGTGATGCGTGATCGTAAATGAATCAAACTGCCTTTTGGCGAACTCGTGGATACTACCCTGTGCTCTTTCTGTGCATTTTGTTGACTTACCTTCGTAATTATACAGATCAAAGTAATTCGTTCGATTTAAATGCTCAATTTAACTGGTAAAGATGGTACATCGACCTTATATATTATGCTTCCAATCTGTACTTTGTTTATTTCTTTGTTATTTTATTGAGTTTTAAAGCAAATCCTATAATAAATCGATATTTCAGAATCGAACTTCAAACTCGGTGTGATAGACGTAATTTCGAGTATTGTTCGGTAAGCAGATTAGGTAAGACGATTTGATAAACGTTTCATGTTATCGATCTGCTAACACCATAGTGAACGAGCGAGTGAACATTTGGTTATTCAGACTCGCACAATAACTCGTTTCTACGCTTCGCGTATCCACGAGTTAAAAAATAAAGATCGTGAACTCGTGATAGCCTAACAGATGTCTGGGCTTTTGGATTCCATCAATCAAAAAATATAATCAGACCATTGAGAATTTGAATTCGATCAATGAGTGTGATTTACAGCAAGTTGAGTGGGTCGTAATAGTGAAAATAGAAAATCTCACTATTGATTATTGCGTAATAAGTTAAATGAAAATAGGTAGAAGGGTAGTTCATTGCAAAAAATTTATTGACATGAATAAGTAATAGCTCGTTTTTTATTTGCAGATTATGACACTCACAATCGACGGCTCTAAAAATATCAAGGTAAATGCACTGAAAAATGATCAGTTTGAATCAATATACACCCACCATTCTCTTGGCGTGGAGGTGGTGGTCGGCACAGAAAACCCAACCAGGGTACCTGTGGTCATCGACGATGAACCAGAAAGGCAATATCTAGTCCACTGGGAAAAGGATGGGGACAATCTTAATTTAACCTTTGATAAGGTTATTAGAGATGGTAACTACCCAACAACAGAGAAAAAACTGGCAGAGGCAAGAGAAAGGGAGAGGAAGATGAGTAAAAAGATGGCTACCATGTTAGTGGACTCCATAAAAGTTACAAAGAAATCCAAAAAATCCAAATCAAAGGAAGACGGTGAGATAAAAAGATCGCGGTCTTGTTAGTTTTTTGCTGATATCCTCCAGTAACATTGATTGTGTATCAAACACTAAGGCTAGACTAAGACATGATAAAAGACTGCCTTTTATCATATAATTATCCATAAAATACCTATGTTTCTCCTTTTCATAAAAACTGATATTTTCACATGTAAAAATAACGTGTTAGTGGGTGCTTGAGATGCACATGAACGCGTGCATTATTTTAAAACCATGCCTAAATGAATCTTGTTCTCAATATCCATTAAATGTTTGAAAAAGACTAACTCAAACTCGGTTGACATAGAATCTTGAACAACTGAATTGCAAGATCTATTCATTTGAAAAACACTTGAAAACTATTGGCCGATGATCAAGTATGCTTAGAAACCAAAAGAGAAAAGACTTTAAAAGATTGTTGGACTGGCCAGTAGACTTAGCCTGGAGATACCACAGTTCACAGTGAAGCGCCGCGTTGCTGTCATAGTTACAGAGAAAGATATCACAATACCGGGTATTGACGTTAATTGGATACGCCTTACTCTTTCCTGCGTCATGTTGAAGTGAAATTATCGCAGTGTTGAATAGCAAAGACAAGGAAATCGCAAGTTGTTTTGGAATATGAACCAGATACCACTACCATGCCTAAAAACATCAAGGACGTGAAATAGGTATTACTCAAAATAGACTTGAGGAAGATATTTTAGGGCATGAAAAGATAGATATATAATATAGATATAGCACTATTTAAATAGATCCTTTTTGAAAGCAGTAGAAATTCTGTAATGTAAAGGTGCGGATACACTGTGCACGTTGCACGATATTATACGTAATTGACAATATCTGCTTTTTGGTGAAATAAAAATTGACGAAAATGAATAAAAGTACTGCTAACAAATCAGAAAAATCAACTAGTTCATTCAATTTGATTATTTCCTCCTTTCTTCAATTCCTTCACTTTTCCTATCATTTGC